TTTTTTACATTTTGGAAATGTAAATCGATCAATCGATATGGAACATCAATGATATTTTATTATCTTAATTATAAGAAATTTTAAATATTGTGATAAGACGGATTAAAATAAATAATTGTAAACATTTTCAGGCTGATTGATCCTGTGGCAGGGATTCAAACTGAATAGATCGTCAGTGAGATTCAGTACAATTAATTTGTCGATGTTGTTGTTGTGGGTTACGACCTCAAATATTTATTTATAAATAATTAAAAAAAAACAGTCATAGAACACTTTGTTATATGTACGCATATATTCTAATTTTATTCATGTAGACAGAATATTAATTACATGTGAGGGGAAGCTGGCCGTAGTGTTTGATATAAGATATCGGTTTCCGGTCAGCTAGAAGGCATAATCGACAGAAATATAATGCTACTCGTTAGCATGCTCGATCAGCATTTAGGAGTACGCTCTGTCCAGTGGACTGCAGGCAGAACTGGGCAGAGGGTGACTGAGACCTCGGACTAGGCTTGATTTGGGTACGTACACCGAATGCAAGTAACCCATTTTAAACATACTCTACAATTGTGTAGACTGCCGTATTACCTGCTATTGATAATCCAAATATCCAAAAGGTACGGCACGTACTTTAAAATGGGACTTGGTCCCCTGTAAAATTACTTTTTGTTGGAAGTAAGCTAAATGAATCGGAAAGTGGGAACATTTCTTCCAGAGATCAATGACTTGATCTACTTTAAACAGGAGGCAAAATGTATTATAGATCCTTTTAGAGCTGATTTTTTGACGTAAATACGTCTATATTTGATGGTCGGCGTCATTCGGCAAAAAAATGTGTTATGAAAAAGTGTAACTTCATTGTTATGTTACCTTGGAAACATCATCTGTTTACTCAGCATTGTTGTTACCTAGGAAACTGTATATTTGGAAGGTTTTAAATGCAAATGGAATACCCGCAGCTGAAAGGAGAGGTGATATCTGTGCTGCAGAGTGTATTTTTCAATGGTGAAAAAGTTTTAATTATAACGCTGTATATTTGTAACCAACACACCAATTGATGATTGTAAGAGATAATTTATTACTGAGAAAATTAATTTATGGACAGAGACAGAACTGACTGTATTTATCTGTTCTGCAGGGAATGGCTTCTGGAATTCCTGGAACGAGATGGTCTGGGTGTCTTGCTAGAGAGTTTGAACCGCCTGGGTGACCGACGAGTTCCCTCGGTGGCAGACGCACTCACCCAGATGCAATGCATGTCTTGTCTTAGGACCGTAATGAATTTCCGACCGGGTCTGCATTACATCGTGGATCGAAATGAGTACACGCGGAAGCTAGCTTCAGGTAAGTGAAGTTTCCTCCTAGTGACCATGTGCATTACCCCAATGAACGTTGAACTGAGCGTCACTAACCTACAAACACTCTCGTAACAATATTCCAGTTTTGTCTTCAAGTAACCCCACCGTGAAGCTTCAGGTGTACGAACTGCTTTGCGCCGTGAGTCTTGCATCGCCCCGAGGCCATGTTCTGGCTCTC